TGTCGCGTTCCCCCCCCCCCCCCCCCAAAATGGGGAATTAAGGTCAGGGCAAGTGATCACACCGCTAGGAGCGCTTATCCCTGCTGCCAAGACTACTGGCAAAGCTGCACGTCTACACAGTTCATCTTTCTGCTAATCAAGAGCAATGAATGCCCGAATGGCACCCCTAGCTCTACTGCTAATGGAGGCACAGGAAAGGAGGAAAGTGAGAGAGGGAAGGATAAAACGGATAAGCAAAAGGCAAAGTGCCAGGCACAGAACATTGCAGGATAAATATAGTAATATCACAGAGTAAGAAACAGGGGAAAGAAAAAGAATCAAACTACAGAAGACAGGAAATAAGGGGCAACAGCAAAACATGGTTAAGTGTCTTTCAGCCCACAGTAAAAGTGTTAAAATATAGCTTATTATCTCAGATGGTTCATTCAGTGCCGCTAATCTAACATCCAAAACAGAGATTAATTCTTCTGCTTTAACAGCAGTTGGAGCAAAGCACATACCCATTACCAGATTCAAAGCAAATGGCATTTATATTACCATCAGAGAATGATATACAGTCAGGGAAAAAAATTTGAACCCCAGCTGATTTTGTAAGTTTGCCCACTAACAAAGAAATGATCAGTCTACAATTTCAATGGTAGGTTTATGTGAACAGTGAGAGACAATAACAAAAAAATCCAGAAAAATGCATTACAAAAAAAGTTATACATTAATTAGCATTTTCTTGAATGAAATAAGTATTTGATCCTCTATCAGTCAGCAAGATCTCTGGCTCCCAGGTGTATTTTATACAGGTAACGAGCTGACATTGGGAGCCCTCTCAGCTCGTTACCTGTATAAAAGAGACCTGTCCACAGAAGCAATCAATCAATCCAGATTCCAAACTCTTCACCATGGCCAAGACCAAAGAGCTTTCCAAGGATGTCAGGGACAAGATTGTGGACCTACACAAGGCTGGAATGGGCTACAAGACCATCGCCAAGCAGCTGGGTGAGAAGGTGACAACAGTTGGTGCGATTATTCGCAAATGGAAGAAACATAAATTAACTGCCAATCTCCCTCAAAACTGTGGCTTAACGTATCTTCTGCAGAGGAACACTTATCACATATGGGAAATACCTCAGGATAGATTTTGTGTAATTGTTCTTTAGAGAAATGAAGGCGGTGCAGAATCTTAAATTGGATTAAAATATACCTCGCATTATAAGAGCACCTATAGATATTTTCCAGGCTTGTCTCCCAATATGTATCTGAAATTTTATTACCCATTTCCTGCTCCCATTTAGACTTTATTGGAGAGGTGCTTGCTGGACTCAGAGACATCAGGCTTGAGTAGATTCAAGAGATTAATTTCTCCGTATGTGGTGGAAGCTGAAGGCATTCATCTAAACCGGAGCTCTTAAAGGTCTCAAACTTATGTACGTGTTTTCTAATATAATTGCCAGGGCATTGAAAGTGGGTCGTGGTTGGGTATTCCAGCATGACAATGATCCAAAACACACAGCCAAGGCAACAAAGGATTGCCTCAAGAAGAAGCATATTAAGGTCATGGAGTGGCCTAGTCAGTCTCCAGACCTTAATCCCATAGAAAATCTGTGGAGGGAGCTGAAGGTTCGAGTTGCCAAACATCAGCCACGAAACATTAATGACTTGGAGAGGATCTGCAAAGAGGAGTGGGTCAAAATCCCCCCTGAGATGTGTGCAAACCTTGTGGCCAACTACAAGAAACGTCTGACCTCTGTGATTGCCAACAAAGGTTTTGCCACCAAGTACTAAAGCACGTTTTGCAAAGGGATCAAATACTTATTTCGTTCATGAAAATGCAAATTACTTTATAACTTTTTTTGTAATTTTTCTGGATTTTTTTGTTGTTGTGTCTCTCACTGTTCACATAAACCTACCATTGAAATTGTAGACTAATCATTTCTTTGTTAGTGGGCAAACTTACAAAATCAGCTGGGGTTCAAATAATTTTTTCCCTGACTGTATGTGTCCTTAGTTGCTATAAGTAAAGTCATTGTCAAGGCCCCAGCTGGGCCTTCATTCATGGTGTCCTAATGAATTGTGATGATCAAATAATTTTTTTCCCCTGACTGTATTGTGCCACAGTAACTGTAGGGCAGATCTGCCCATACGTCTCACTTGGTTTGGGTGCAGCTACTTACCGGAGGACTGTGAATAGTTGGGAACTGGTGGACTTTGAATCTTCAAGGAGTTTGCCATCATGCAGCCAGTGCGATCCCTTAATGTGAAGGGTGGGGTCTGTCAAGTTACAGCTGAGAACAGCAGAGGTCTGGTTGCGGACCTCAAGAGGATCAGTAATGATCTTTGAGGCTTCAAATAAACAGAAGGGGAGAAGGGGAAAGGTTATCCTTTTCTAAAATTTCACCTTGTTGACAAACAGCTGTTTTAACAACCTACTTGGCTTGAAACAATATGTTTTAGCTATAGTCTAATTTACATTTCTTCTCACAACACTCAACAGCTGTCGTCACAAATTAATGATTTGATAGTGATACCCATGATCAACTATGGAATCACAGCACTTTGTTTCTAAATTATTCTTATGGTAAATATGGCTGAGGACATAAGCAATAATAAGAACCAACTGTTGAGTGTTGAATGGTCAATCAGAAGGAAGAATTTACACCCAAGTCCTTTGGATAGTGTCATCTTACCCAGTTTAAAAATAATTTGTGAGAAATCAATTTTGAACAGAAAACAGTGAGACTTGGGCACAAGTTCTGTACAAATGCACAGACCTTTCTAAGAAAGGTGGGAAGACCTCCCAAAAAGGGGAGATCTGTCCCACCAACTGCAGAATGGAGGGAAGTTTGACTTGGACTGGAATGCTAATATAGTAATCTATACAGGGTCATGGGGGACAAGAAAATTTAATAAACACATGCAGAAGAAGCAACAAGGCGGGGATGACACTACCAATCACATGGTAAATTTTTGCTTTAATCAGTTGAACAAACTGATTAAATGTAAATAGGAATACTGGACCACAAGGCCAAAAGATGCCCCATGACTGAAAATCCATTTAAAATCAATTAGATGTGATCTTCTGTGCCTACAGTTTAGTAGGCTAGATCACAGAAATGGTCTACAAGCATAAAACAAAAGGGGTATTGCTATTGTTATATCAATTAATAAGGACAATACTAGCAAAATAAATATCTAAGCAGCAATACTAATCAGATAATCTGACAGACATTTTTTTGTTTTTATGTGATTAAATATTCATTCCATTTGTATATAAAAATCTTCCTGCAGGAGCCATTTGCAAATTTCCAACCTTATGACCAGTATTACATGCAAGAAACAAGGGGAGAAAAAAAGGCATTAGATTAAAGACACGTTCTGTGTCAAGTGGTACAAGATTAGGGAGGGACTCAGCCACAATGCATAGCCAGATTCACATTCTACTACAAAACAACCTTGGAGAAGGTAGGGACAATGTATTGGGGGAACAGGATGGAAAAGGTATTAGACTGGGAAGCATGAGAACTGAACGTAATGGAGTTGAATGTCTAGAACTACACTAATGAGGAGATAAAGGTCAATCGACTTGGACCAGCGTCTCCTCATGCTTCCACTGCCACTCACTTTCAATCACAATAACATTTGCCTGCGAGCGGAGCCACTTGATTTTGGGAGTCTTCTTCAGTTCATTGCGGTCAGGGTCATTGGAAGCACGGCACTCATATGTGCCTGAGTCATTGAGAGTGAGGCTAGTGATGTGAATGGTGCTAGTGGCATGAGCTATATATGTGGCGTTTACACGCACACGGTCATATCGTGCCCCATCAAAGAGCTGGGTGAAGCTCTCGTTGGGCTCCTCACCCCCTACAAACCACCACTGCACCTCAGGGATAGGGTTCCCTATCACTTCACAATGCAATTCTGCACTGTTGTTGATCAGCTTTATCTGAGACAGAGGAGACTTAATAAAACCAGCTGAGTACCATTTACAGTCAGCCCAGCAGACATTTTTGTAAGAAATGTTGAATGCGTTTAAAACAAGCCATGTGATTTCATGCATTGGTGGTAAAAGGCAGCAATGGAAGAAGGACAAAGAGAAAGAAAAAAAGTTAACAAATGAAACAATGAAAGTAGGCACAATTAAAAAAAACAAAGCAACATTTACACCAAATTACTTTGAGGAATGTTTTGATTTCTGCTCCATTAAAACAAAACCAACATGTAACAATGCATTTAGGGATGACCTGAGCCAGTTGGAGCATAGTATCAAGCTAAACATTCAGTTTCCAATTTTTTTTGTACAACTAGATAAATATATTTGATCTTCAAAGTTATGTTTAAGTCTTAACATTTCTTAAAGATTTTGACTCACTGTTTTGTAGGCAGTGGTTCATATTGAAGTTAAACTGTACTGCATTACACTTTGAGTTTCCATCAAATTTATACAGCCGTTTGGTTTCTTGTAAAGCCAGCATTATGAACGGTAACAGCCAAACACCTAGATTTTGTCACCCATAAAGACTGTTGCAGCAACAAATAAAAACTAAAACAATTAAAAGCATCCAAAAGCATTCCCATGAAAATCAAAAATCATGTGTAATGTAATGTAACAGAACATGAAAAACACATTT